CACCCCCTCCACATCAAACCATGACAAACGTGAACTGTAGTTGCAATGCTACATCACGCACCAGCTGGCCTGCTAAAATCAATCTGGATTGCTCCAAAATGGGAAGAAAGACTCACAAAAGCCAACAATGAATTAAAATTAGAAAGACTACTGAAACTTGTTAGGACAGAAAAGAGGAATGCCAAGAAGAGGCTCTGGATAAAAAGTTTTTTAAAAAAAAGTGGCAGCAAAAATCTTTAAGGTAAGATTCCAAGTTGTACATAGTGTACTTTTCACTTTCACCTTTCCTCCTTATTCCCTTTGTCTAATAGCGAGTTAAACCAAGGATGGGAACGCATCTAACGGAGCAATGACCACTTTTGAGTCAGTAGAGATACCTGTCTGAAGTAAGTAACAGGAATTTTTGAAAGCTTCCTTCTCCTTTGACTTAGAAGGATGCTGGATGGCTGGTTGGCACAAATGTCTGGCTTTTAAACTGTCTAATTTAGCTAAGAACTCTGTCGATTCAACTCACCACCATTCTTGTGAAGGAAGAGTTATAGGCAGCTTAAGCAAAGGAAATGTGACATTTGAGACCTCAATATGAACTATGCAAGCCCTGTAAAAGCATTTCTCTGCACGGAAAAAGCATTTCAGAGAATAAAAAGAATGCCTCTGACATGATGTGCCACGGTGTACATTGCTAATATTTTGCAGAAATTACATCTGTAGATACAGCCCGTGCTTTCTAGATCACTTACCTTTATGCTTCTTAGCAGCAGCAGGTTTGATCAACGCCAGCGTGTGCTCCTGAGGGAAGAAGAACTGTAATTCCTTCCGAGCATCATCGGGTGTAGAACTGCCATGCAGCTGACCAATAGGTATGTTGTTGACTGCATACTTTGCACGTAAACTAAGAGTCATTAAAAGAGTAATTTACTTAAAGGACTAGCCATTTTGAGCCTCAACTACGACTAGTGAATATAAATGAATGTTGATGTGGAAACTTAAGTGCTTGATGACCTCTCTGCAGGAGTCCTTGTCTACAGAAAGAGCAATCAACTTTTTAATTAACTGCCTGAAAAATGAGCTCCTTCCATCTTAACTATCATCTTGTTATATTTCCAAGATAGTAACAGTTCTCGCTTAATGAAACACAACAGTAAGATGATACCACAGCAGTTTCTTAAAAGAATAAAATAAGCAAATAAAACTAAGGTGTCAATTTTTAAAATTTATCATGTGTAGAAGAACCTTAGTCATAAATAAAATATGCTACTGATGGAGAGTTTTAATTAAGCTAGGAAAATAAGCATCTGTTCTAAAAAATGATGGTGCTATTTCAAGGAAAAAGATCAATAAGCATGAGATATTACCAAAAGTTTTTGCACATAGAAAATAATAGCAGTACTTCGTAGACCACAAAGCCTAAAAATAGCCAACCAAGGTCACAAAGATTTGACTTAATAGCCAATATGACTGTCAGCGCAGGATTAGAAAAGTATTATTACAGGTGCATTCTTCTTGTGATATGTGCTTCTAGCAGGCAAGGATTTTTCTGACTCAAGAGATCTTCTTTTGCTCCAATACCCTTTTTTAAACTCAGCTTTTCATTATGTTTAGTAGCCGTTATTTCTCAAAAAATTCTATACTCGCTATGTGTAATGCAACACTTCATCCAACGAAAGTGTAAAACTGCAGAAATATATACCAGTTTCCAGATGATGGCACTATAGTTACACCAGTTGGAATATGGTATTCATTGAGATGAGGAATGTAAAAGTAAATGGGAAGCTGTGAATGATAGTTTACTATTTTAAGTCTCACCTGTTTGGATTTTCCTTCTTAGCTTCTTCAACAGTCTTCGGGCCTAATAAATCTCTCCAGTGTGCTACAGCATTTTCTCGTGTTAGAGCAAGTACAAGAGTTGGACCACTGTAAAATGGGAAAACTGGCATCAAAAACATCAAATATTAAACTCTCTGTAATTTGTAAAAGGATTTGATTATATATAGGCTAGGCCATGAAAATGAGCTCTAGTATTGGAGGATTTAAAAACCCATCTCAATTTAAACAGCTACAGTCTGATAAAACCTTACAAGGCTTAAATGCAAATTTAAATTTCACAGTTACTGAATGTGAACATGACAGCAAGAATGTTGTAGAATTGGACTGCGTCTTTATTATTAGGCGTAAAAATGCTGATCAGCTCCTAAGTTTTTGCGTTTGTCTCAGCCATGTCCCAACCTCATATGAAGACAATATCCAAAGACGATTTATTTTTCCTCCCTAAGGAATCCAGCACATAGCCTGGATGAAGACTTCAGAACTCTCCTACAAACAACCTAAATGCAGCTTTCCAGAGCAGAGCTCAACTTTTTTCACCTAAACCAATGGAATTGTCCGCTGACTTCAACATCTTGCATACAGAGATATGGAGTAGCTAGTAATTTTTAAAAACCTGATCTACAATACTTGGAAATTATCTCATTATGTGCAGTTGTCTGGTCCTGATTTTGAGTCTTACTAAACTCTCAGATACATGAGTATCTTGTATTCAGGATAATTACTCCCTGTGAAAACGCCAGTCTGATTCACAGATCCATGTATATATTTTACATTCAACATACCTGGCCATTTGCTCTAGAAGGACTGGGAAGTAGTCTTGATTTTCATGCTCTTTGTAAAATTCACGTATTTGTTCTTCAGATAGGATTATTTCTTTCTGCATTGCTATTTTGAAGCCATCATCGTTTATTCTTTGCATGATAGAATCTGTTTAAAATATTGAAATAATGCTAAATTACCATGCATTCATTAATTTGCACACTTGCGAAGAAATGACATGGACTTTCCAATCATAATGTTGAATTTTTACAGGTGAATTAATTTCTTAACTAACAGAAGAACAGAAAACTAATTTAAAACAACTTCTGGAGTGCTTCAGTATTTTCCTGGGCACTGGGAAAGCTGGTGCTCACTGTCTTAAGGCTTTCTCTCACTCTGGAAACCTCATTTTTCCTGACTGAGAAATATGATATGTGATACTATCACCAAAAGAAGGTCTAAGGATTTTGAATAGATGAATATTCATTTGACTACGTCTTAGAAGACCACATGCATAAGCAAGCAGTGTTTGGTACAAGTCAAAATGACTCTATAATTGCCTACATATGGAGTGCAAAACTGCTGCTCTAAGCAAGTCACTAGATAACAATCAAGAAAACGAGTACACAAGGAGAGGTCAAATCTGTAGTCTTTGAGATCTCTGGGTATAGGTTATTTCCATTACGGAGATTCTCAAGTTAGAAATAAAGATGTTGTCTAGAATCTAGGAAAAAAATTAAAATACATGCCTGAGAAGAAAACTTAAGCTGTTTGGATGGAGCTTCATGCTAATGGGGTAGCACGGAGATTCTCAAGTTAGAAATAAAGATGTTATCTAGAATCTAGGAAAAAATGAAAATACATGCCTGAGAAGAAAAGTTAAGCTTTTTGGATGGAGCTTCATGCTAATGGGGTAGATTTTCTGATTTAATCTGTAAAAATGTGGTCTGTATAGATCTGTCTCTGTGCAGCACTGCCTTATGCAGCACAGACCATCCTGAGTCAGATCTTTTTCACCTTGCCATCGATCTACCTTTGACCTGTTGTTCAAGGATGGTATCAGCTGCTTTATCACGACAGAAAGCAGGATCTCCCACACTATACTTTGAAATTGCTAGCTTCTCTGAGAGATTTTCTAGAAACATTCCATCCAAATATACAATCCGAAGACATTCTTGAAAAATCAGGCAAAGAAACAAAACAGCATTGACGTTTACATTCTCAATATAACAAAAATATTAACCATGTAACTTTTCTCCTGACAAAGATTACTGTCAGCTTAACGCTGGGGAGACAATATAATGTAAGAACGTTTCATTAGTAGAGTTAGAATTTTTAAAGTTCAAAATATGAGACTTTTTGTATGCCCTAGATGGAAAATGTAGTTGCTAACACTTACGCCGTCTTTCCTTTAAGAGAGAAGGCCTAATTAAGGCCAAAGTCTTTTCAACTTTTTGCTCTGTCTTCGTTTTATTAAAATTTGGGAAAAAGAAGGCAAGTTGCCTGCTGGCATCTTCTACACTGTCTTGTATATCACATATATTTAATATACTCTCAGTTTCTGCAGTTCCTCCCGATCTAACGAGACACAAAATAATACAGTATTTAAGTCACTGCATGCATTGTGTTAACAGTTGACTTCTTGAAAATATACTTTTTTCAGGTTTAGTGAAACACAAGAATAGAATGCCAAACTAAGTTTTTATTAAATCCAGATTCATGACTGAAGTAATGTTTCTGAGAAGAGAATTATTAATCTTCTCAAAAAATGCTTTGTCATGTGCTATGAAAGGGAAATATAAAATCAGAGCTTTTATAATTCCCCTCTATCTTATTCAAAATAATCTCTCTGCTTCACTAGACAGAATTACCACTGACAAGTGCACAGTGTATAATAAATGATCAATAAAAAGGATTGTGCTTAATTCATGTACAGCACGATCACAAAAATGATAGCATCACAGAATTGACTTTAACAGTGATACTTCTCATTGTTACTTGCCTGTGTTTCTAAGGTTTATTTAGCTATGTAAATAAAGTCACTCTTGGCCACTTATAGAAAGTGCAATATTCCTCAGTTGTACTAAATTAATGCAGAAAGGGATACAGTAGACATCAGCAAAAATATCCATTATTATGACCAGGTGGGGTTTTTTTTTTGGAATAATGTATTTAAATTCATGTTGCTTTAAGTAAATCTCACGTTTAAATGTAAAACTTGAGCCAATATTCAAATTTTATTCTCTTTATTGTCTGATGCTGTGTATGCAACTATCATTTTTAAAATTTATTAAATTCTTCAAATTTCTCAACAAATTTATTATTCTCTTTAAAATTCTCAACAAATATTTAGCATAGGAGAAAAATGGACATTTCAAGATACCATTGGCTGTGAACAGCTAATCCTTAAAATGTTCTTACGCATCTTGGAGGGGCAGGGGGAACAAACCCCCAAACCCTCCCACTTGTTTGCTGACCTGTAAAGGGTGGTCCCAAGGGAGCACAGCATGCTCCAGGTGTCCCCTAGTCTCCTTTTGGCCACACCTACAGCTTCCCAGCATACATAGGAGTGAACATGGGCAAGAGTGCAACCCTCAGTGGGCAATGCTGGCAGTCACTTCGTCTGGGTGAACTAGTATGAAGTGGGATTGCATGGAGTACGTCAACTTTGAAGTACAGCACAGTTCCCATCGGTCTGACAACCCATTCAAGGCTAGTTCAGAAATGTCAAGAGATCAGTGCCCTTTGCTTGTTGTCTTTACCCAGGAAGCAAGGAGTTTCTGTATTCCCACAGGAAATGTGACTGCACCTCTAGTGATGGTCTTGTGGCCAGGTGAAGAACTGGACCCTGGGCACACAGGCATACGAGCATCTCCAAGAATGTACCTTGGTTTATGGTGTGCTCCAAATACTGTAACTGAGTCACATATACACATTTTCACCGTTAGTTACCTGTCTGGCTTCCCAGCCTCAGGCTCATCCGGCACGCTCTCACTCAATTTACGTAGTTCTTTCCAGTGAGGAATAGCATCAGTCGCTTCTTTTCTAGTGATTACCAAAACGTGGCATGGTCCACTCATCATGAATTGAACAAAATCATCAAAATCAGGCTAAAAAACATGATTTTTCCTCTATGAATTGCAGGAACTCTGAGTTTATGATTAAAATGAGACCACTGTCCTTTCTAAAGCAACTCATAACTCCTGTTCTAGAACAGCATTCACATACATACTCAAAACCCTGTCAAATTGCTTGGGAAGTTTTTTGATCAATCATTTGAGACAACAATGCTATAAAATGTATAAAACAATTAATTTAGGTGAATGAAATCATAAAATTATATTAAGCAAGCACCACGTGTTCTTCCAGGTTAAAATGCAAATGACAAGACTGAAGAAAATTATCTATAAACTCCATGTGATCAAATGCTGTGTTTGCAGTAGCACATATAGTTCCAAGCATAATTTTTGAAATTAAAAACCGTGTAACTGGGTGCAAATATAGCACACTGAGATATTTGCAAGACATTTGCAGGCTTTTCCTTCATTCTCTTTGCTATGTTGTTTTCACTTCTTCAGTTTCAACCTTCAATCCTATAAACGTATTTTTTAATCAGAAAATAACTCTTGAAGCTGTTTTGAGCTTTTAATCTTTTTTCCTTGTATGTCACCTTTTTCTTCAATATTGTGAGTTTCCTCAAATGTCTTCTCTCCTTTTAAATATTTGACTAAATCCTTTCTTTACCAGTCACCCTCATCTGTTCCTGTAATAATAGGAGGATGTAATATTCACGTGTGCTCTCAAATCGTTGCTTTTCTCTTTCAATTGTCTTCATATCTATGAATAAACTTAATCCATTTCACAAGATGAATAAACTCAAAAGAGACAGAATGAATGTAAATATGAAACCACCTAGCACAATGCGTGAAGGGAGTATCTCTGCTGTTGTGGCTTCAAAAGTACACTTATTCACGTTAAAAGAAATAGATGTGGCTATTAGATTTGGCTCTCCTGGCTCACCCGGCTTCATCATTAAAAAGAAACAATTTCTGCTTCTGGTTATATCTGAAAGTCTGTTACCTGGATTCTCCACTGTGTTATAGCTGACAACCTCTGGACCTTAAGCAAGCTTGCGAAGTATTAAATCAGGAATGATTTTGCCCACTGACCACAAAGGAATCTATATTCCATATTGTCACTTTGACATAACTGTTTTTCAGCTTAGAATTACACTTAAAGAATGGCAAATAATTGGCATCTCGATATGCATAGGGCCCTCTGAACTGCTTCTGATAATTCGTAGCGGTTTTGTTATTCTCCCTGTCCTAATGTTGGCCAGGATCTGCTGCGGTGTAGTAGTGCTGGCATATACCAAACACTGCGTGCTTTTCCTCTGTCTTCGCTCCTCCCACATCTCCCTCTATACCTAACTAATCTCAAATTTGGCTGCTGTTCCTGTGAAGATAACTTATTTTTACCTCTATTTCGACACTGTGTCTGCCCAAATTAGAATCCGAGCTTTGCCAAAACCTAGCTCTTCATGATTCCTTACAAGCTCACCCTGTTCCTTCCTTTCTAAACCATGGTGCAGCCATCCGGTGATTACTATCAAATTTCTTTCTTCCCTCCAGCTTCAGTAGGAACCATCTTGTCTCACTCTTGTCTCATTCATTTGGAATGCCACAGGGACACTTTCCCAGCTTCTTCTTTTGGTTACGCCAACCCTTTCATTGATCCCTTCCATTGGCCCCTCTAACATCAAACAAACTAGTTGTCTGCATATAATTCCTGCCTCTGTTTATTTTATGCAGATCTTAAATAGGAGATGGTATAAATATTTGCTAAGCAGCTTCATTTTTGTGATTCAGATCCTTCCATAGAGTTAACTTTAGCTATCATACTGTCAAAGCACTTGACAATATCCAGGTGCTCATTTGCTAGATCACTGTCATGTAATGGTGACCAGTGCATAAATGCACTGTTTTCTTGAACTTTCTGCCTGTCCTTAACTATTTGTTGTCCTCTAATATAGGATAGGGTCAGAAAAATAAACTTCAATGGAGATGCTTTCCCTTTCTGCCTGTGCATTTGCTTATTCCCAGTACTATCCCCTGATAGAAGCTGTAAAGAAGGAAAAAATGTAGTGTATATTATCCCTTGTTTTCTGGCTGAAAGCGTGTGTGTCAGACAGATACGTGCTGTCATACAGATGACACTGGATTTGGTTTTGTGCTACATTTCAGCACCTAATAGCCTATGTTTAGGGCCAGGACTAAGGGTCATACACATTCTGAAAACAGAAAGAACTATAAAATCTTTTTGTATTTAATTGGAGTTCAGTTTGATTTAGTTGGAATGTTAGAGTGCTACCAAGCCGTATTTGTATGAGTCGGTGAGAAAAGAAGAGATATAATATTTCCTTTTTCCTATGTACTAAATCTACATTAATTCAGTTCTTCAACATGCTAAAAACTTACAAGACAGAGATTTGCAAACACATATAGCTACGATTACACATTTTACCTGTTCCTTTTGTTTAGGTTTTCAGTTTGTTTTTACCTGTTCTTTATTCTGGGCATAGAATACTCTGATTTGCTCTTCAGTTAGCATTTTCTCCTCTGCTGCTTCAATGCCAAATCCTGCATCTCTGATCTGCAATTATTCAGTTATTACTTGGTGGCATTCACAAAGTCAAATGTTATTGTAAATCTAAAGATTGATTGATTTTGGAAGCTATTTGAAGTTTTAAATTCTTGGAAATATTCCAAATATAACTGCTATATTTACCCAGACTGAAGTTCCAGCTTTTCAAAGCACTTCACTAAATTCAGGTTTACAATGCCCACTAAGTCAATGTTTGTGAAAAATATAGTGCGGTTCAGTGTATGTATTCATTCAGTAGTTAACAATCCCTTTTATTTAACAATGAAAAAGCTCATTTTAACTACTGTGAGTGATTAACATGCAACCACTTCTAAAAAGATTATTACAAACTATACTATAATCATAAACTATACTATAATCATAGTATAATCGTGTATGTGTCAAAAATTGTATTTAGCTAAACTACTTGGCTTTAGAAACAGCAAATAAAAATAAAATCTCTTTTATGATTATCTATTTTAAGTTACATTGCTGCACTAAATTCAAGTGTGTGTAAGAGATGCACACTTACACGTCCTGTATCAAAATGCACAGTCCACTGGTATGAGGTTTATATCATATACTGATATTTTAAAAACAAAGGCACTACCCAGCCCCAATACTGATCACAGGCCAATATTAATGTGATTACCAGCACTCTGCTCTTTAAAAGCTGAGTGTTTCCAGACTGCCCTCGCAAGGCTGAGTGGGGAAAAAATAGGGGTACACACCTCACCAGGCAGCACAAAGGCAGAGCCAACTAGCAGCTGCTCAGCTCCAGCTAAACTGCTTTCAAGCACTGCCTGTTTTTTTTTGCCTTTACTGATCTTCCTTCCTTTCTGGCTGAGGTAGAGTAATTGCAGAAACAACCTATACAACACTCTGATTTTCTTTCCTGCAAAGGTCACTGGCCCTGTCATAACACTTCTTAAAATTAGCATCAGTTTATCTTGATATATAGTGTTATGAGACATTTTTTTTGTAGCAGAAACAGTGAGAAATGAGCATTACTACAGCATTATATTCTGGAAGGCAAAAGAATTTTTCGTTCACTGCGTGATATCTCGAACAAATACTGAATCCTTGAATGCACCCTTGCGTACTTGCTGAAGTCGCGTTCCTCACTGCAGGAACAAATACTGCACTGCTGACAAATATTAACGTACCATTACTACTGCACATAAATAAGCCTCAGCATCTACACGAACAGATTGTCATTTGTGTCTGTGCACACACTCTCTTCCATGAGGAGCTGGTTAGTCGATTTATGTGTGCCTACAATTCTCCAAGATGTTGTGCGAGGAATTAACTTCACTACCGCAATTTCTAGTTTTTGTTTCTGTTGTAATATAAGGAAAAAAAGACACTTTTCTGTTTGTAGATTTTACATGGTGCTGATCACAGTAAGAATCACAGAATCAGAATGGTTTGGGTTGGTAGGGACCTCGAAGATCATATAATTCCAATCCCCCTGCCATGGGCAGGGACACATAAGAGAAAGGAGGCAAAATCAATGTCATACCTCACCCAGAGACATAAAATATTAAAGCAAGACTGTCAATCTGAATACCATATTATTTCAGATCAATAACTATCTTGCTTTTGTCATCCTTATCAGAGAAGCATTAATAGGTCTTGTTCTAAAACCTGAGCATAAACTAAGCTCTACTTGATCTTACGTCTTGCTACTACGCTGATGCTAAATAGGATGAATGAATCTTCAAATTTTGTCTACCTTTTGTTTAATTTCCTCTACGCGTCCTTCTAAAACATCATCAGGTTTTATAATTCCAACAGTATATTTGACTACTTCTGGAAAAGGGAAAGAACATTTGGGAATTAATACATTTATCAAAATAAATACACAGCTGATTTTTCCATTACTTACAAGTGGGTTTCCTGAAATAATTCTCCATTTTAATACTGAGATGGCCAAACAGGGGTTCCAAAAAATAATTGACTCTAACACTTAGAGCATATCTTGGAGTGTGGGTCTGTTCTTGACCGTTCCTGGAATCCACATTCCTGATGAACCACTAGTGTTTTGGGTCATATATTGGAGAAATGGTTCACATGCAGCTAGGTGTGCTAGAAATACTACTACATAAGATGGGTGCTTTGTCTAGAGAGCTCGGTATGTAGGAGACTATAATTGTGAAAGGAATGAGTATTACTAAGGAAAATTAACTAAGTAAAATATGTATGAATATTGGAGATTTCCAGTAAAAGATACATTTCCTATCATAGTAGGTGTTTGATTCCTTAGCATTGTGGGTGCTGAAGTAATTTGCAATAAATAACTGTTGAAGTAAGAGATGCTCAATAATGTAATCTAAAACAATAAGTGTTTCTGGTTGTAGACATAGAGTTACAACATCCATAGCATACAGAGCCTTGCAAAATTAGAGAAAGTAGACAGAAGAGAATATAAACCACATCTTTCTTTGTGGAACCTGAGGTTTACACTTAAGCTTTAGCATGTAATTCAATCAGATTCCAAACACTGTAGAAGAAATTGATAGATCTAATGGAAACACCAGACTACTACTTGTTTCCAACACTAGAAACACTCATAAACACCTGCATGTGGTAAGGAAATTATTACCACAAAGTGTTAGTGTATTCTAAGGGATCCCCTAACCTGAAGCTGAACCCAAGCTGAAAATTCTATTCCCTGATTTTGTCACACATTTAGGTTATGTGGATTAGTGCAAAATCTGTATATAATTGCTAAAGGATTTATAATACTGTACTACTAGGTCTCAGAGGGTTTAAAGCTGAGGTCAGGGACATGTCACTTGAACCATGGAATAAAGAAGACATGAAGAGAAAGGAGAATAGACACAACTTAATCAGTGACAATGATTTAATGCCTTATCACAGGAAAATAAAAGCCAAGATAAAGAAGGAGAAGAGAGAGGATGGAGTTTATTCCATCTGAACATTGCCAAATGACATTCCGTGCACACATGAATCAGTAGGAAGCTGCAGTAGCCTCAGACAACAATAAGAACAGAAAAGAAAAGATGTAGGTCTCAGCTCATGACAAGCCTGAAATAAATCGTAGACACGAGACTCACGAGCAGGATGGTGCATATTTCTCAGTCTTTCTGGAACCTTATCCTACTGTTGTGGATTTATGCTTTTATGTAAGCCTGTTCTTTAGTGCTTATACCTAGTCTGGTGAAAGAGTTAATTAAAAATAATCTGAAACATAAGGGATGCCATTCCTTCAGAGATTAACTCTTCCAGTCTTCACAGGATACCCCCATCTTGGTGTTTCTGTAGAACTCCAAGCATTAACAAGCACCATCTCGACAGAAGCATGTAGCTAACACAGGGGCTGTGTAGAGGCGACTTTCAGGTGCTAGTTTTACACAGGAAAATTCCTGAATTCTGAAGGTTTCCAAAAAGGGGTGAAAACACTAATGATGACAGTTCAACATCTTAATTCCTTACAGAAGAAACCTTCCCGTCAGTTTGATATCCTCAATCATAACCTCTCATGTTATTAACTGAAAGAAAGGTCTATTGGTGTTGGACATACACAATTCTTAATCAAATAACTAAACCCACGTTTGTTCTTTTTCTTTCTCTTAACATTTCTGAAATAAATTAAATGTATTTACCCTCGGGTACATTCTCCTCAAGAGTCTCTTCTGATGATTTTTCTTCTAGGGAAACAAGTTCATCTACCTAAGGTAATTGTAAATACAGTACAAACACATCACCAGCGTGAAGTTAAAGTCACCAAACACAGCTGCTGGATTCTTACAACACTTTTATCTTAATGTAATAACATGTTTGCTACCCAGGAAAGCGAGTAATTCTAGGAAAGACCTTGGCCCAGCCTGGTTTTCCTAAACTGAGTGGTCGTTTGTTAAAAGTTTCCTTTTGCTGTAAGAGGAGTTCTTTGGTCTCCATTTTCACTCAAAACAAGCAATGAAAGTGACTATTTCCCATGTCTTTGTTTCATATGATGCATTCTTACTAAGTTATATATGAAAAATACTCAGTTCTGAAAGAAAAAATATGACTAAAACCTTTATGTGCTAGTGACGTTTCATCCATCTCTCAATTTATTGCATTAATAGGCTAATCTGTAAATTTCTCAAGTTTTTATAAAGTACCATGGAAATTTCTAAAAAACCCTCCTCATATATGTCAGTATATTGTCAAGAAATAAATACAAATAATTAAACTTTACATTATGGAAAACACTATCACAGGCATTGAGAGAAACCATGTAAGTGTAATAAAAATACTCATTTATATTTAAATATCTGTTTTGTGAGTACTTCAGTGCGTTTCTTCTGTCCAGCTGCAATTTCCCTTTCTTCTTGCACCAGCTCTGTTGTTTTCTTAATTAAAAGAGGAGCATTTACACCTCTCACCATTGCAGTAATTTTGCCATTCTGTAAAAGAAAAAATAACACTCTTTGTTCCTTAGTTTACACATTAATTTGAGTTTTGGAACATGCTCTTTCTTGCTAGTTTTTCCAGCAACAAGACCACTTCCTAAGCTACGCCCACTGAAGTGAATACCAAATCTACTACTCTACTGGTTCAGAAAGAGCTTTTCTTACTTTTACTTTGTCCTTTCATTTTCTGCTTCTTTTTGTATGTTTATTTCAAGACTAGTCATTAAGAGTCAGAAGTAAATGTAAATATGGATTTTATGAGCTCTTAATTTCTGTGACATGGAGTTTTCTATCTTTTCATTTGCTTTATGTTTCAGTGAGTGCTCTACCACACTCAGGAGCACCATAGTGAAGGTAACTGCTGCGGATCAGACACTGCCAACTCACTTGGCAGCATTCAGATTTGAACCTGAAAATGTCCTGAAAGTATCCTCGTTCTTGGCCCTTACTTGCAGGAATTCAAATCCTAGCACCCTCAAGTAAAAAAAAACCCACTGCCTCATAAGTGAGCAGTGTTCTACAGTGGAGACTTTGGAGAACAGTCTCTGTATCCATCAAGGAGAGATAATAAATATATGATTCATTGTTACAATAGCTCAGGTGTGAAAAACACCATTTTAGTGGTTTATCTTAAAAAACTTGGAATGGCAGAAAAGGTAAACTCTTTTTTCCTGAGGAAAGGTATGCATAAAATAATAATTTCACTGTAGCCACATGTAGACACTTTATACGAGGCAGCCCTGGAAAACTTATACTGATTTCTCACTAAATAACTACGACCACTGTGGCTACCAAAAATCTGTGGGGCCCCCCAGCCACAACAAAACTGTGCTTGAAAACTACAGATCGAGGCATGGGAAACAGCCTCAAGTAAACAACATCTGATGATATGATCCTACAAACCGTAACATTTCAAGATATTATTTATATAGCTTCATATTTCTTCTTAATCTGCTGGAGAATTAATGCAAAAGTAGGCAGCACGTTAAAAGAAACTGATGTGATGTACTTACAACACAAAAAAGAAAAACAGGTTCACATTTATTCCTAAATGGCTGCAGAGTTGGAATGCTGTCAGCTTCTGCCTGAAGTCAGATGAAAAAGATTATTTACTTACTTATGCACATATATATATGTATATCAACCTTCTTGCCTGCAAGAAAACTGCAGTCACAAACACTTTGGTGTTGCACAAACTGTAGTCTTAAATACAACTAGCAGTCCCTATGGCACTTGCTGAAAGTGGAAGAAAGGAAAAAAGGAAGAATGAACATGGAATTGGCCTCCTTTCTTGTTACAGCAGCTGGAAAAAACCTTATCCTAACACTATTTTCCCATGTAGGTTGTAGCAACATACTTAAACGAGGAAGTAGTCCATGCAGACGTGGCAGAAGAGATTATTCACTATTTTAAGTTCTTTGTGACTTTTAAGTTCTCTGTGCTCAGCTCTGTGAAAGCACTTGAGATAATCTCTGAACATAACTGCCTTCTTTTTTATGTATAAACCATACGTGTATTTTCTGCAAAAATGCTTTGATCAGGCAATTGAAAAGTTTTCAGTAACATGAGAAAGGATGAGCTTGGGCAATATCTAGGAGGAACTGAATCTGTCAAACAAATTTATCTATTTTAAATATGATATATCCCTCCTATTTTATACTGCTAGTGTAGAGGAATATTTTTATTACTATAGTTTTGTGACAATTTATTTTTCAGCTCCCCCTTTTTGTTCTCTTTAAAATGAAATACAAGGGAATATTTGGGAAAAACATGTAATAGCATTTTTCAGGGATGTAAGAATTTTAAATGTGATAAGCAATAATGTATAGGGCTTAAAACTAAAAATCATATAGTCTGGCTCTTGAATGTTTCTGCAATCTCATCAAGGAAAGCAAAAGTTGTGGGATATCAGCTCCTTTTCTGTTATAGCTCCTTCCATATTTATTATCATTTCTAATCTATCTCCAAATGAAGTCTTACGAGGAGACATGCAGAAGAAGAGGAAATCAGACCAAAATTATGACCACTTGATATAAGGACAGTAAAAGGAAAGCTCTGTAAATGCAGACAGATAAAAAGACATATTTAAAATACAATGTAAATAAAGTTCCATATAGAATTTATGTCCTTACCACTGCAAAATGCAGTACATCATCTTCACCAAACTCATTCTTCAGTTTTCTGAATAAATTCACCACAGCTTTGCAGGGACCACACCAAGCTTGATAGACATCTATTACTAGAACAGCATTACAAACAGATGACTTGTAGAACTTAAAAAACGAGACATATTTATAGGTGTATTGGAACAGTACTGGGAAGGCATTCATATGCATCTTCAGTCCTCTCCTGGTCAATGAATCCATCATGAACGCATCAATATATTCAGCGGATACATCACAGTTTCCTCTTTTATTTTGATGACTTTTAACATCAACAATCTACTTCACAATACTATTTGAGACGATTAATCTGAACAGCTACATTTCTCTCATATTCCTTTTCCTTTTAATTGTCCTTTTTCTTTTCCCACTGTCGGTTTTCATTCTTATCTAGACCTTTATTCTACAGGATTTTTACCTCCATGAGCCCATGCAGATAATTTCTTTCCCATTACTGCTCTTCCATAGATATGATCCCATTCATATAGAATCACAGAATCACAGAATGGTTTGGGTTGGAAGGGACCTCAAAGATCATCCAGTTCCAACCCCCCTGCCACGGGCAGGGACACCCTCCACTACACCAGGTTGCCCAAAGCCTCATCCAACCTGGCCTTGAACACTTCCAGGGATGGGACAGCCACAGCTTCTCTGGGCAACCTGGTCCAGTGCCTCACCATCCTCAGAGCGAAAAATTTCTTCCTGATTCATATACCTATATATGACCCCATTTGTTCCTTCTACCCGATCACAATTCCTAGGAGACCTAGGAGACATTGTTGTTGGACTGAGCCAACTGAAGACTGGGGACAATACACATCATAGAACGTGCACTCTCAAGAATGCTTACTAATTAACTGCTAAGTACAACTGTACAGTGTTAATTTAGTCTGTACAAGGTCTTAGGGAAAAACTTCCACAGAAGTGTCCTATCTCCTACCATACATAACACCATATTGGAAAGGTATTTTCTAAATGTCAGTCTATAGCAGTGCTTAAAATAAAGGATAGTATGATTTGTAACAAGTGTTTATTTATCAGAGAAGACAGTATATATTCATAAACACAATGTATGCATTTACACATATATTAATATAACCTTTCTTTAAAAGATAATGTGATAAAAGTATGAAAAACTGTAAATGTCTTCATGAGGGATTGAACAGAAAATAGTAACAGTTAGTACCTACTAAACCTTCTGTCAGCAACATGTCATTCCACTGGTCCTCATTGGTTATAATGGCCTGAAATAAAATGAATTGACATTTTAACATCTTAAAAAGGAAGAAAAAAACCCATATTCATCTCTAGAATTGTTCAAGCAATTAGGATTTATACCTGGAGCTGGGTTTCTTTCTTCTTGCCTGCCATTTCCCTGTGGTTATAGGAAACATAACAAAATACGAAGCATATTTAACAGTTTTTTTAAAAGAACATCTGATATGCAGAACTGATTTATATGGTTTTCAACACAGCCCTGCCTTTCAATTTCCTCAGAAACTAACTCAACTGAATTCCCTACAACAATGACAGTTAACACCCTGTGTCAGAACTCTGGAGCAATATACAACTTATTTGCAAAACCCACATAGCACAGGACACAGAATAAAATTTAGTTTCTTATTCTGTTAGGATCTACAAAATATTTTGGCCTCAATAATTTTTTGTCCCCAACAATTTTTCAAGCTTATAATAGGTCTGTTCAGAATGGCCACATGGATCTTGGATGGGATGACAGCTGCTGTAACAGTGGAGCATTTAAAAAAAATATTAATTAAAGAACTTCAATTCTAATGGCATCAAATTAGGCTTCCTATCTTCTGGAATATATGGAAAGCAATGACTTATGTGTGTCCCATGACTAAACTCCCAAACTGAATCCTGGTACATTCATCATTCTGTCGTTAATAAAACACGTCTTTCATATTTTTTTCTTTTTTTTTTTCTTTTTTTAGTAGTTGATTAACTATGAACTGAGCAGGAAAACTATCTTAGTTAAGTTATATACTTGGAGGAAGTTTGACTTTACCTTCCAAATGGAGCTTGACTGAATAATAAATGTTATCACTGGATCAGTGGTTTGAGTGGAGGTTTATAAAGGTCTTGATAGTCGTTGCCTTGGAGAAAATGAAAGTGCCACTACGAATGTCACCTCACTGGCACTGATATCTGAAAAGTTAACCAGGAAACATGTCCAGAGTTTGAACTATCCTGGCATTCCCACTGGAGCTGATCCCTTTAGATCACAGACTGAGGCATACCGGCCAATGCGAGAACTCTTGCCCTGATGCTTGTCTCACATTTCATCTAAAATATTATTAAGGAACAAAATAAAAAAAAAATGCAGTCGTGCATTCTCAGGTGGCCAACGAAAGCACTGCAGAACAGACACATGGTATGTATTCACAATATGAATATACATATTAATCTGGCATAGTGGCTGTATGAGACAGAAGTGAAGATACATGTGACATCTATAGTTTTTAACAAATTTTTCGCATAACACATTCTCTCAGTAATACAGTCAGTATCACACTGGTAAAACATGAACAGACACATTTTCTCCATTATCTATGATACAGGCAACATGCTTTTCTAACCTTGAAACGAGGCATTTTGCTATCCACACACTACACCTCTTCCCACACACTTTGCAACCAAAACCACTTCCTTGGACTATTCACATCTAAGAATAGACCTGGTGCACACTCAGATACACTGCCAAGCTCACGTTCAACTACGCACGTTCTCTGTGGACAGACATTCAATATCATAGCACAAACCTTTGTACACATATATACATGAAAATATCGAAGCACTTGTGAAATTTTGAACATGAACCTATATACATAGGCACAAAGTACCTCGTGCATAAGCACTGGCGTGTGACAGCAGGTCCCTGCGTGCTCCTAGGTAGCGCTCTGATGGACCATCAGCGTCCATCAGCTGCTTGTGTGGGCACAACCTGTGGCCGCCCACCCGCCACCCCCCAACGGTTCTAACTGCCGCCCTGGGCTCTTAGGCCTCCCCAGCCCCCCTCGCTGCTCCATGTCAAAGGGCCATTTTTCCCTTCCCATCCTCTTTTTCCAGTCTGGGGCTGACATGGCACGGGGATCCGAAGGGGAAATGGGGAGGGAGCCAAGGGGGGAAGGGCTCGGAGGAAGCGGCGCCATCTCCTGCGTTGTTTCTCCTCTGTTTCTCTGCCCCTAGGCAGAATCCAACCTTAGCCTTTAAAATGTGAGAAAATTAGCCTTGGAACCTAATCAGCAATCGCCTTCGCTCCATGAGGGACGATGGGGATGGAAAGAGGAGGTTTTTTGTGGAATCACAGTGACCAAAGGAAGGTTTTGGAAGCCCAATAGAGGAGACCACTTGTGCTCGTTCGGAACAGGGGATGGTTTTTCAAGTGTAAGCTTGGACCTCAGCAGCCCCAAAAATTCGCAAGTTAAAGATGAAGTTCACTTCTACAGGTAGAAAGCATGATTGGTCCAGAGTACTATGTGGCTATTTTCTTGTACAGATAAACTGTTAAACTCTAAAACTCTTAAACTGAAACTCTTAAACTCCCAGCTGATGAGAATTTCTTTGTGGAAGTATAGGTTTAAGAATTATCTCAAACCCAAAGTAGGTGTCTCTGAACTGTTCACGTTTCACATATGTACGTTGTTCCTGATTTATGAATTATCTGTGCTTCCAATTGGAAGTATGCCTGCCCAGGCATACTAAGTGTTGTTATGTACATCTACTGCATCTTAAGAAAATCTAGTTTAAATGGCTTTCTTGTCACATTTCTTAAGCTTTCTGGGGCTGCTCACCAAAGCATGCCTAGCAAAGCTCGTACTGAAGAGTTAACTTTATTTCCTGAAACTAATATGAAGAAAAGAGCAGGGTAACAGCACTTAAAGGAGCTAGAATAGATGCTCTTTCTCACTGTTGAATCATGCCAAGCTCATGGATGTTCATTCTGAGGTAATGTTTCCACAGAACTGCAGAAGTTTTCAGTGCTGAGATTATGGTATGCTCTAACAGCTTGGATTAGATCTATTAGGTGGCAAGACAGACTTTGCATTCAGATCAGAAATGATGCAGTTATATAGACAACACTAAATCACTTCCTACATTTTTTTACTGGAAAACTCTTGCTTTGGAACTAGTATAAAGTCCGCATTGACCTTCTTGGAAGTCCTTTTTACAAAGGTATATAGTGATAAGACAAGGAGTGATGGCTTTAAACTGAAAGAGGAGAGATTTAGATTAGGTATAAGGAAGAAATTTTTTACATTGAGGGTGGTGAAGCACAGGAACAGGTTGCCCAGAGAAGTTGTGGCTGCCCCATCCCTGGAAGTGTTCAAGGCCAGGTTGGATGAGGCTTTGGGCAACCTGGTGTAGTGGAGGGTTTCCCTGCCCATGGCAGGAGGTTGGAACTAGATGATCTTTGAGGTCCCTTCCAACCCAACCCATTCTGTTGTTCTATGATTCTAAGTGGGGAAGAGCACTTGAATGACCTTGCTTTTCCTGCATGAAGTAAGAAAACAACTTTTGAAACCTTAGTAGCCTTACAAAATTAGAAAGAACTACAAAAGATGAGATATTTAATCCACCCATCGTGTGAAAGTTAAAGGCCCAAAACATGGGCTATTTTTTTGGGGTTTCCTTCGCAAACAGCTAACTTCTTTATCCAGAGCACTTTCTTCATGAACATCTAGTTTTTTATATGTTAAAAAAAAAAAAGTCTTGAAATTCTTGAAGATAAACACTAGAATGAGGTAATGCTCACATACCAGATGCTAAAAGGCTGACACAGCCTGTTCTTTAACCGCTCTGCTAGAATGGATTACATGTGTATTTCAGATATCAAAAAATATGTAACGCAAAGGGTTCTCATTCATAAACTTGATATTTTAAAATACTGAACTTAAAAGTAAGAGATTGATTTTCACTGCACCCATCCCCATCAACACATTTGCAAAATTTAGAAGCAAGTAGTAAATGAAGACTAGAGTTGTGTCATCTGTTTACTCATCAGCAGCTGAACCTCTTCTCCTTGGGTCTTGCTCTGTGCCTCTCTTTTTTTTTTTTTTAGTGCAGCTTGTTGATTTTATATGATCTTCTTCAATAACAAACACTATCAAAAAACTCTGCAAGTCTGCACTTTCAGCGGAACCAGTATAATAAAAAGCTCCTTCTTGAGGTTAGAGCATATAGTTCAGTAAAATTCTTAATGAATTTGATAATGACATACTTAGCTTATGCAGAGCAGAACTTTTTGGTGGTCATAAAAGGCACCAGAGAAAAGGGATTAGGAGTTTACTGTCTTTTTTTCCAGAATCAAACCAATTCTCTAAGTATATGCAATTCATATGAAAATATGCAATGGATAAACCAAAATGGGTTCATGATGAATGACTACGTAATTTTTCTGAGTAACTTTAAAACTATTTCACTCCATTTTGTGCATACCAAATGACTTTGGGCCGGCTCTTTGTCATGAGTTTTTAACACCCAGACTGACTTAGTTTCAAATTACTAGCATTCTTCTGCAAAGTAATGAAAACCAGTTGTAGACATTGCTGGGATCTGTAACTTTTGAGACAAAACTAGAGGTGGGGTTTCCCTGCAAGTCAGTCTTTTTATGTGCCTTCATACATGCTCGGATGCCAGTTTCTGTGTTTTTATCTATAGACGAAGGGTCCTGCTGGGATGGGGTGGTACAGTGCAAGCCTGTGGCTGGATGACTCATCCTATTTGTGAGCTGCAACTGTTTCTCCCAGGGTTTCCAATATAGCAAGTGCTGGAGGATGAGAAAACACGTCTGAGTCATCTCAAAACCAGGTTTGCCTCTGCTGTCGTGGTTTCCTTATTGTGCTCCAGCTATACACAGTGCATACGTACACTTCATGTGCACGAGAGATGCTCCCGGTTGTAAGGACTGCTGTTGCGCACAGCCCAAGTGCCAAACGCCCTTCCAGTCCCACGGGCTCACCACAGAGGTTGGAGGGGTAACAAACTTGTTTCCCCAGTACTGGTCTTGATGTCGTGGTTTAGCCCGGCTGGCAACTAAACTCCACTCAGCCACTCGATCACCCTCCCCCACCTCGCCTGGATGGGGAAGAGAATTAAAGGAGAAAAGGAAAAGAGACCTGTGGGTTGAGATAAGAACAATTTAATACTACTACTACTACTAACATATGAATATATATACATGTACAATGAGAAATATATACAGACGAGTGATGCACAGTGTAATTGCTCTCCATCCCTTGACCAATGCATGTTCTGTCCTGGACTGATGATCCCAAAACAGATAAATCCCGATATCGCAATCTTGGATGAGTGAGAGGCCCAAAAAGAGAGAGAGAGAGGCAGTGCTC